TGTATTTATTTATTTATTTATATGTGTTCTCACATAGTTTTGTATGCCACTTAGTCATTGATCGGTAGGATTAAATTTTCCATCAGCCTCCTTATTTTTTCTTTTTGTTTTTGCGTCGGTCAGTTTGATAGGAGAAAATTGCTTAATAAAGCTTTTATAGAATATTCAGCTTAAGACTGGCAATGAATCTGCAACAGCTTATTACTGGCCAGTGGTAGAACAAACAGCAGTGAAATTTCTTTTAACGGTAAACTTTTGTTTTTTTTATGATTTAAAGTATTTCAATAATGAAGACAGGAAGAAAAAGTTGATACGTAATTTTTGAAATTAATCGGAAAGAAAATCGTTTAATAAATTCTCTCTCTGTTTCAGTACCGTTTTATTTTTTCATTCTGTTTATTTGTACATCAGATTTTAACATCGTAATCTTTAACTGGTTGCTTACGCGGATAAACAAGCACTTTATAAAATGCTGCAAAAACAAGAGGTTTTTTTTGTCGTTGTTTTACTTCATGCAAAACATGCATTTCCTTGTTTTGTTATTATTTGTTGTGGTATCCTGTTTCCAAAGAAAAAAAAACCGTGGTTGTGTTGTTGTTGGTGCGCGATCGCGATGAAGTATTTACTTCACTGATTTAAACGTTTTCAAGAAAAATAGTTAAAACATCAATTATTTAATTGTTTGATTCAATGGTTTTGGTTTCATGAATGATAAAGAAAGCACGGAAACTTTCTTTTTTAGTTCAGTTCTTCTTTCTCCTTGCATTTCCCCCTCCCCAGACTTTGAAATCAATGGTAATTTTTGATTTTGATTACCCCAAATTTGTTTTAACTATCTGAGTCATGACATATTGATTTTTGTTTCACTAAAATGATTTCATGACGTCAGAACAGATTGCCATTAACGGTGTGGTTACTGATGACAGTTTTGTCTGTTGATGGCCAGTTATAAAATAACGCAATGTGAATTGAATTCATTTGTACTAACTGGATTGAACAGTTACCATGAGGTCAAAAACGTCAAAAAAACTAGTCTAAATTTTTCAGAATATTAGTTTAGTTTTGGCGTAAAACCACACAGTAGTAAGATAACGGGAGTAAGTGTACTTAGTTTTTGGTCGTTGATACCGTTACGTATGTATTGTATCCACAATAATTATTCTATGGTAATTAGCTTCTTCTTTTTGTCACCGATAGGTTGTGCAGAAGTTCGTAGAATTTTTTTTTCAATTTGTTATCTATTAACTCGCTGTTTTGTAATTGCAGTTGTGGATCAGAATATAAAAGAATCATGGCAATCACTAAATTAAGAAGGAGAAGGAAACTGATAAAAGAAGAAAAAACGGCGCTACCAGTTAAAAAAGTGATTGAAAAGAAACAAAAACCTGAGAAAGGTTGAAATATTTTTGACTAGTTTTTGGTTCGCTATCCTTCAAAGTTTTTAAAACTTTTCAAGAAAATGCTCAACAGTAGAAGATTGAAGTTTTGGTTTAACAGACGCATGACGGACGCTTTGTCCAAAATACGCAACCTGAAAAAGTATCTACCCATCTTTGGGATCTTAATTTTTTATTTGGATCTTTTGATTCCATATCTGTACCACTAGTGTTACAAGATTTATTTTGTCTGAACATTTGAATATTTCTTCAGTAACATTTCGACGATCAAAACGACTATCAAAGAAAGTACAATCATACAGTTTTGCGGCAACAACATCAACGACTGCAGGGGCTGCAACCGCACCGGCCACAATTGTAGTAGCAACACCATCGACCACTACAAAATCTAAAAAAAGATCAAAGAAAAAAACAGCTACTAAACCTAAGAGCCGAACTAAAAAATTTACTGCACCGAAAACGACTGCAACAAAGAAAACAAAAACGAAAAAAACAAAAGATACTGCAGGTCAATCTTTTAATCTGTCCAAATAAATTTCCAGTTTTGAATTTATCTTATTTTTGATTTTTTGTGAAAAACTTACCGGCAATTTAGTTTTTTGGCGAAATGAAATTTGTTTTCTAATTATTATTATTATTATTATTATTATTATTATTATT